TCTTTTATTTTTCTGCGGCCCCCCCCCCCATCTATGGCAGCCTTATACACCATGAGGAGTTCAAGTGACTTGCTTGTTGTTAATTCAGTAGTAACATTCGCTTCTAACCTGTCATTGGTTTGTGTTCCCCCCGTGTGTCCGTAGGCTAAAGGAGTGGTCAGCACAGCCGTATCGGCAGCGGTTCAGGCAGCTCGAGGAAGAGGACGAGTGGCATTGGCCCGAGGAGCATTTGTGGGAGCGACTGCTGCCCCTGGATACATAACCCAAGGTACAGGAATCGGAGTATTTGCATTCGGTTTCAATGCAAATACTAAAGGCAAGGTGGGGGGGAGGGTAAAGGTTTGTATTGTGCATTAACTCCGGCCCCGAAAGTGCTGAGGATGAGGACGGCTGCCCTCCCCTCTTTGTGAGAGCGGAGCACCCTTTCTCCACTGGGGTGTCTCAGAATATTCAGTGTCACGCCGTACCAGGGTGCAAGCAAGCCGGCCTCCAGGTCCATATAAAGTGACGCTGCTCCCGGGAGGGTGGGATCCGCCCAGAAAAAGATGGACGTTCACCTTGTTAGTCTGTACACGTTACCTGATGGTCACTCTTCAATGGGCTCCTTCTTGGGGTGTACTTTGAATGGTTTAGGGTGAGCGGACACTCTTCTATGGTAGAACTTAAAGGAGAACTATGAGGGGGGTGATTTTTCACTCACCTCATAGTTCTAGCCGACCTGTGACAATGAGACTGTCACAGGTCGGCTCAGTAGATCGGGAAGTGAGCGAACACATACCGGCGCTCGCTCACTTCTCAATCTATCCATGCATAGAGCCGTGACAGGGGAGGGACTGGATTTCTCCCGCTCCGATCCTCCAGCGCTGACTGGGGAGGGGGGCGGGTACAGCTGGCTCTGCCTCTAGATAGGCGGAGCCAGCTGTCACTCACGCAGCTGGGCAGATCCAGACATAATTGTCGGGATCCGTTTCGGCTGCGGCATCTCAGTATATAGGGAGCTGTAGCTCCCTATATACTGATCTTTGTGTGACGGGAGGACCGGAGTGATCTGCAGATAGTGTGAATGTAGAAAACGGTGTAAATATATAATCAGATTTTTCCAATGTTCTATTTCTAGGATACGCCGCTCCATATGGGTACAGCGCCGCAGCCCCCGCATACGGTAGGTAGCCGGCAGTGCATTTCAAAATACAATAGTAATACATACAAAGTGTCATTACACCGCCCCCCCCCCCCCGGGGCTGTAGGTACCTCCCACTATCATTATTATAATGTAAACTTGTGTGTATGTAATTCTAACAAAAATAAATCCGGGTCCCATGATGCCATCAAGTCCAAATCTGGAGAAGAGTTGCACAAATAGGGAAGTTCCTCCAGCCATTGATATACCTGTGGGGCTTTGGGGCTGCATGGATGGGCCCAGTTGTCTTACATTTGGGTAAGGCTCTGGATAGGCATGTTTGATCTCGGGTGGGTTGGTGTCATTCAGGAGGCTCTGTACAAAAGCCGGGGGGCTAAAAAAAAAAATCAAATGCCTCGATGTTCCCTTTCCTGGCAGCACAGTGGAGATCAAGACAGGGAAGGGGAAGGTGGTTGGGAAGTAGATGGAGATCAAGATGGGGGAGGTGGTTGGGAAGTAGATGGAGATCAAGAGTAGGAAGGGGGAGGTGGTTGGGAAGTAGATGGAGATCAAGATAGGGAAGGGGGAGGTGTTTGGGAAGTAGATGGAGATCAAGATAGGAAAGCGGGAGGTGGTTGGGAAGTAGATGGAGATCAAGAGTAGGAAGGGGGAGGTGGTTGGGAAGTAGATGGAGATCAAGATAGGAAAGGGGGAGGTGGTTGGGAAGTAGATGGAGATCAAGAGGGGGAAGGGGGAGGTGGTTGGGAAGTAGATGGAGATCAAGATAGGAAAGGGGGAGGTGGTTGGGAAGTACATGGAGATCAAGAGTGGGAAGAGGGATGTGGTTGGGAAGTAAATATGGAGATCAAGAGTGGGAAGGGGGAGGTGGTTGGGAAGTACATGGAGATCAAGAGTGGGAAGGGGGAGGTGGTTGGGAAGTAGATGGAGATCAAGAGTGGGAAGGGGGAGGTGGATGTAAGGGTGCCGATGATCTTGATAGGCAAAGATACATTGAGGAAGGTGCCCAACATCATTACAGGGAAAGGGGAGATGGTTGGGAAGGCTCCCGAGATCTCCACGGGGGGGTATATTGACCTTTTGAAGCCCAAACTGTGTATTTTATACGTGTATGCACCTGTACAGAACATGTATGTCAGGAAATGTCTGTATTGTATGACATAGAACATTGATCACCACTGACACGCGTGTGTCTCTCGTCTTTTCAGGGATCCCTAAGAGGATGGTCCTCTTACCAGTTATGAAATTTCCAGCATATCCAGTTCCCCATTACTCCTTTTTTTAACACGCGCATCGGGCCGGACCGCTCGGGAACGTCAGAAATGGAACTTATTTTCTTTGTTGGCGGGATTTCCTTTGTAAAGACCCTTTTTCCTACTTTTTTATTTTAACACAAAAAAAAACTCAGAAAAAAGAAGATTTATTTATTTAAAAACTTTCCAGCTCCCTCGTCAACTCCTCCCATGCTCGCCTCCAGGACTTCACTAGAGTCTCTCCCATCCTCTGGACTCCCTACCCCAAGTGGGCTGACCCAGGTGAGAAGTGTGAGGTATAACTTCCATTTTGTGTTACTCTCCTACATGCTCCTATAAAAGAAAACACACAAACTTCCTCCGCTGTAACAACCAGAAACTTCTCGGTAACGCAGAACATTCCGGAGATCTGGTCACATGTGCAGCCGCCAGGATGGAGCTGGAGATACGCGACGCGGCGCAACATCTGGTAACAAAATCCTTCCAGACGCATCTGTTCATCGCATTATTCGCAGCGTTATCCTAAATGTGTTACAATCCCCCCGCATCGGGGAGGCAGAACTGTATAACACATGTCCCAACAAAAAAAATAAAGTTGAATGTAAAAAAAATAATAGCGAAATAGAAATACATTTTTACATTAAAATTCAATTTTTTTTTGTACAAATTACATATTCATTTTTTTTTTCAAATGTAAAAAAAAAGTTGAGTGTAAAAAATGTTTAAAATACCATAAAGGCTGAAATACAGATTTTTTTTTTAACTTTCAAATGTACACAAAAAAATTGAGTATAAAAAAAAAATTAATAAAATACCATAATGGCAGAATTTAAATGTTTGGGGGTTTTTTGGTTTTTTTTACATTTAAATTCATATTTTACATTTAAATGCTAAAACAGTTGTGTAAAATAAATAAAATGTCAGACTTTTGAATGTAAAAAAAATAAATACCATAGTGGCGTAATTGCTGTGTTTTTTAACATTTAAAGGAGAACTATGAGGTCAGTGTTTCCCCCCCTATAGTTCTCCTCAGGGTAACGGGAGGACACAAACTAGCGTCCTCCCGTCACCCTAAGCTCAGTATATAGGGAGCTACAGCTTGCGGTATTCTGAGACGCCGCAGCCGGGAACGGATCCCGACATCGATGTCGAGATCCGCCCAGCTGCGTGAGTGACAGCTGGCTCTGCCTATCTAGAGGCTGTACCCTCCCCGGTCCGTTCCACCAGTCAGCGCTGGAGGGGGGGGATTCCCTGCAGGGAGCCGTAAGTGACAGTCACCACTCTCTGCAGGGACAGGATCGAGAAGTGAGAGAACGCCGGTATGTGTTCGCTCACCTCCCGATCTACTGAGCCGACCTGTGACAGTCTCATTGTCACAGGTCGGCTAGAACTATGAGGTGAGTGAAAAGCCCCTCCCCCCTCATAGTTCTCCTTTAACGGACTGCTGCAATGTTAGGAAAGAGGCTGCGTCTCTTTTACACTCCAGCAATAGTTACAATTCTCCCCTGCTAACATGAATAGGTTAAACCATGATCCATAGTACATAACGTGTAGTTGTACTATGGATAATTTAAAGTCACCTGTCCTTAAGAAAAAGTATCGGTAATTGGTATCGGCAAGTGCATGAGGGGATGTACTTGTACTTGTACTTGGGCCTGAAAAAGTGGAATCGGGACATCCCTAGTCTCTTTATTCCTCGGGAGGGGGAGCGGCGCGTTCTTGTGGGGATAGCGGGATCATCGCGTCGTATACGTAACGCACTCGCATAATGTCTTCATTACACACAGCAGCCCGCCGGCAAATTGCTGCGCAGAAGCCGCGATGAGCGAGGAGGTACCGCCCCTCCGCGCCTTTTATTGGTGGTCTCTACAGCGATTGGCCCGGCTCCTCTCCACATTACAGATGTCGGCGTCCTGAACAATCAGCCAACGCGTCGCCAACACCGCACTCGCCGAGCAGCAACTTCTACATCGTAATCGTCTCCCTCTGGAGATCTCGTCACTGAAGAAGAAGAAGAAGTCTGACACGGTAGCGAGTTTCCTTTTGGTCGGCGGCGTGGAAAAGTCATTGAGGGAGCCGGGAGGAGGAGATGACCTCAGATATTCCCCTCACCCCCCCTTCAGGGGGATCCGACTCTGCGAGTTACACGCTTTCCAAAACATACAAATTCCAAATGATCATTTTTAGGACAGACGGAAGCTTGTTTTCCTATCGGCGGTCACGGGGTGGGAATACGGGGCAGGACTGCATTGCAGTGACGTGCGGTACCTTTTCGTTCCGGGTGAGGCATTCCCCAGCATGCCTAGCCCTGCCCCTAGCCCGACAAGGTCCCACCCATATCATGTAACAGTCCCGCCCCCAGTCTGCCGAAGCCACACCCCCAACCCAGTCACCAAGCTCGTGTGAAGGAGGGAGGAGCCTACCTGTCCCTCAGGACTGCTCGTCACTGCTGAGGCATCGAGATCGACGGCCTCAGTGGGTTTTTTTTGGGGGGGGGGGGGGGGGGTGGCGC